TAATAATAATGGTAAAATGAATGAATTAAACAAAAATTAAGCTAGCGAGACATAGGCAGACACAACTCATCCAGTCTGTTATTCATCTAGAGGAAAATCCTATCAACAAAGGTGAGCAAAACCAGGTTTGATGAACTGTGTATGTCTTACTTGAAATGAGGCAACTCAAAAGACGGAATGCAGCAAGTTTATTCAACCAGCCAAAAATAAAAATAAATAAAAGCAACTTATTGTTAGACACTGTGAACAGAACTCAGGCAAAAATGTGTGGTCTAGATAATAGCCCAACAGAGATAGCAAATAAAATTGAGTTCATTTAGAAAAGCTGTTGAGTTAACCATTTAGAAAAATAAGTACTTATCAACAGATTTTCTGATGCACAGAACAAATGAAATTGTGCAGTATGTGAAAACAACTGGCTAAAGTCATCATGGGCATCCAAATTTAGCTCTCCCAACATCAATATTAGGCAAATGTAAGACCCACGGAAATCCTAGTTGAAATGATGTTATTTTCCTGGGAAAAAAAAATACCTCCAGAAAACTCAATTTTTGTTTAATGAAAGTTTCTGTACATATTCAAGTAGTCTGAGCATCCCCACCAAGAACAATCTAGTTTTTAAAATTTAGAACAATGCACCACATCAAAAACCATATAAGTTTCATCAAAAACCTCACTTGCATTATGATGGAGAGATAGAGAAGAGCACTTCATTTCATTTTGCTGGTGTTTCTTATCTAAAGAATCAATCTTCCTACCAACATATAGAAAAATACATTTTTTTTAAGCCAGAGTGTATTTATGTCTGGCAAAGAGCACATTGGCAATTTCTTGGCAAAAAATTATACAGAGATATAATATAGATATAAATATATAGATACATATCTATCTACCTATAGAGAGAGACTGAGAGAGTACTTAGGAATTAACTTATTTGAGGTTACTATTTTTTTGTTGTAAAGAATTAGGACTTTCAAATAACAATGTCTTACAATCTCATTGTTATTTGATGTTTTCAGTGTCCTTTCATATCTATTTCATTTTTATTCTTGAAATTGCACTGGAGGGTAGTCAAGGCAGGCATTTTTTCCCCTTTCTTCTAGGTTATAAAATTGAGGTACAGAGAGGCCAGACTCAAGGAAATGAGTTTTGGAGCCAAGGTCTTGTAACTTCTATAGCCCAGGGCTCCTTCCACCAAGACGGTGGTACTTCTCTGGAAGTTGTGAATCAGAATTTCATAAACCATGATTTCAAAAGGCAAAATAATTCTAATTGTCTGGCTGTTGAATCAAACTTTGTGCCCAGAGATAAAATAAATAATATGGATATAAAAGTATAGAAGTAAATCTTGAAATTGTGGAATTTGAAAGTCCACACAGAGGAAAAGAAATAAGTCAGGACTGGTTCCTAGGTTTCTAGTCAGAAATTTCTAGATCTGCAACTTGACAACTGTGCAACTTTGAATAAAAGACAAAAAACTCAAATAAGTACCAGTATTTGAATATAAAGTGCCTAGCACATTGCTTGCCATATGGTAGGGACTTACAGAAATTTTTCACTTTCCTTAACCTAGGAAAACATGCTCCTTCCTTAATTTCTCCAATTGTAAAACTAGGTTTTAACATCTGCTTTTTTTGCAATAACAATTTAAGAAGTGTTATTTAAACCAAAAAGGACAATGGGAGAGATTTAAACAAAAGACAATGGGGAGATTTGAAGGAACATGCAATCAAATTGCAGTACTCATATATGCAATATAAATACTAATGAGTATGCTTTACATTATAAAAGGAAAGAAAGATCAGTGTGTTTTGGCATGTGAAACATGTGAATTAAATGATTTCTAAGTTTTATTCTGCTTTGAAACTATATGATATTATCGTGGATGGGACAAAAGGGAAAACTCTTACTCTACTTCCACATTCCTCCTCTTTCTAGAATATTAATCTAAGATTCCAAACTACTGTTTGAATCACATTTATAAATGATGGTGGTGGAAGGGAAAATATTTCTTTAAAAAATTATGTTTCCAGGTCAGACACTCCCATTATGTTCCTCTGACCCATTCTGAGGAAGCTGGGAAGGGGGAAGGAAGCTGCATCTTCAATAATCCAACTTTCTAGCTATCTCAATCCATCTCCTGTTTACCCAGGGCTGGATTAGTTAGCCAACTGCCCCGGAGTCTGCCTCAGCTAGATTTTTCTTTTCTTTTTTTTGCTCTAATTTGTTGACAGAATGCATGCCCTTGGGCATGCAAATTACACCAACTGGTGAAAAGATTTGAGAAACACTCCTCTTCCCCTTAGCATTTAAATTTAAATCCTGTTTCGAGCCAAATTACCAGAGATCTTTGCATCAAGGATTATGATAATTATGACATCAGCAAACCTAATTAATAACGGTGATTGGTGTTTCTCATTTCCCATTTTCCCTTGTGCCAAAGCCTTTCAGCAACATCACAGGGGAGAGCAGCTGTGGCTTGGACCCCGTGTTGTGTGTGTGTATGTGGAGACAGGTGGAGGGAAGAGGGTGTATGTGTCATTATTGAGCCCCTGGCTCAACGTTACAATTTTGTCATCATCTTTAAAACCCAATTCTACTCCCAGGAAGGTGTAATAGAAATGGAGCAAAGAAAATCAGGCAGGATTGGAAAGGTGGGGAGGTCAACTGAGGAAATATTAAAACATGGATCACTCTCCACAATGTGGAAATCTTAGACTAATATTTAACAATCACAATTATGAAAGAATGTTTGTAGAAAATTTTTTAAAAATATTCTGGTAAGTAAATTTTTAAGTTCCACGATATAAAACTTATTTAAAGGAAGGAGTCCAAGTGGCAAATTTTTCCAAAAGAAAAAGGAAAATAAGTAATATTATCAATTCTGTTGTTGTAAATGGAAGTGTGTACCTGGATACGTGTGTTTGTGTATGTGTGTGTTCTGTTATTTGTGATAGGGAAAGTAGGTATAGATCCAATTTCTAACTCTAAGAAATGTTTGATAATGGCTTAAATGCTCATGAAAAACCAAGAAACCAAGCTATGACAATGACAGAGTAGCTAAAACAAAGGTTTCTCCCAATGATATATATTTAAAAATCAATGCATGGAGCACCAGATAAGTTGCAAGCTGAAGCTCACATCTTTCCATTTGTGTTTAGGCCAAACTTTGGTGCTGAAAGCCACAAACAATGTCACTCTCACACTAACAATGAGAAACAATGGATCATTCACATCATCATAATTTTTCTTGAGACTATCAGAGAACTGAGGTCACAAGGCAACCAAGCAAACCCTATTCCAAAGAGAAGCAAATCTTCAAGGAAAGACAGGTCACATGAACTGCCTCATCCTTGGGAGGGCACAGGAGAAAATGTGTAAGAAAAGGTCAGCTAACATTTTAACTGATGGCCAAGGGATATCACCCATAGTGGCACACCAGAATTGGGCCACTTGAGGGAACCTCCATGTGGCTACGCCAACATTCAAACTGTTACAAAGTACATTTTACACTACTAGGCACTGTAATATAGTGAGAAGACTGTCAGATGCAATCAATTCCTGATAGAGATGGTCCTAATCTAATCATTCTCATTTTTTCTTCTTTTGAAGATCTGTTCTAAACCAGACAGTGAATCGTTTCTGAATCTGTCATCTTGCCTGGCGATGCTTGAATATGGAAAAGAAAAAGGGTGATGGAATTCAGCAAGGCGAGGTGGCTACTTTGTGTGCTTCTCAGTCTCAGAAAACAGGAACTCTACACTGAAAATTCAATGAATCACCTTGATGAATTATAATTAACTTCCATTTTAACTGTTAGAAGCTGATCTCCTGAAATAGGAAAGTCTACATACAGACAATGAAGGCTGCTGGCCAAAAATTTTGGTATTTTACATTTATCAAATCAGTGCCTCTTTAAATCCCTCCATCATTGACTCTATTTGTTCTATCTTTATATCAATAATGGCAATAACACTTCAAAGGTTAAAGTTTTGTTTTCATGCTGAACTGAACAAGATATGGCTCCAAGATCACTGATATTATCCATGACAGCAAAACTAAATAACTTTTAAAATGTTAAATCAGGCATGTATCAGAAAACGATTATCAAAAACTTCTGAGAACCAAGTGTGATCAATTTTGCACACACATTTTGAGTGTGGGCTTGACTGTAGGTTAACATCCCAGTTTCACCACTTAATAGCTGGAGCTTCTTAGGTGTGTTACTTGACTTTTCCAAGACACAGTTCTCTCATCTGCAATACCTGGATGGTAATAATATTTAAATCACAGGATTGTTGTGAAGGCTGAAAATCTCATCTATGTAAGCACTCAGCCTGACTGGTAGAATAGGAAATCAATGATCATGTAAGGTGAGTGAAATCTGTATTACTATCTCCTGGCATCTCCACTACACAGATGTGAAGACTGTGCATCAGAACAGTTAAATTATTTGTTTAAAGAACCACAGCTGGTAAATGATGAACTCAGGCTTAAAATGTGTTTGGAGACTTCTAGATTTAAATCTTTTTCTTTATATCAAACTTCTTCACTTAGATCCATAATTTGGTTGACGTGTTATCTCAATCATAAATAATAATATTTTTGGTTAAATTTTTTTTCAGACAAGAGTAATAAACCCATGTAAAATGGAAGATACCAAATTAATGTAACTTTTAAAAAAATCTCTAAATTCATGTATTACAAGAAAATTGAAGATCATCCAAGATCGATCTCAACTTTGAATGTGCAACTCATCATCTTACTAGGGAAATTAATGGTCAATTTATTTAATTAAATTAATAGTTAAATTAATGGTGGCTTCTCAAAGTAATTCTTTTCATTTTCTATAATTTCTTACCTGCAATTATTAATCTAAATTGCAATTGCAGAACTAAATATACTTGAAAAGTGATCACAGCAAACAATGTTCATACACCAATTAGAGCAAAAAGTTTTTACAGCAGCAAAAAAGAAGCTCAAAATGTCAAAGCACTTACTGCAGCTTGCCGATGAGTATTGGACAATATTCCATGAATCTTCACTTTGTCCTTTTCCATTTGGTCTATGTTCACCCACAAATCCCGGCTGGCAGAATCAGATGGACCATATATCCGAGATATATAGTAATTGTGGTCTGTGTCCTCCTGTAATAATAAAGAATATTGCACATCAAGAACAGAGACAGCATGGATGGACCTTGAGGGCATTATGCTAAGTGAAATAAGTCAGACAGAGAAAGACAAATACTGTATATCCTCACTTAATATGTGGATTCTAAGAAAGCTGAACTCGTAGAAACAGGAGTACAATTGTGGTTACCAGGGCCTGAGGCGTGGGAAAATGGAAAGATGTTGGCCAAAGAGTACAAACTTCTAATTATAAAATGAATAAGTTTTAGGGATCTAAGGTACAACATGGTAATATGGTTAATAATACTGATTATATACTTGAAAGTTGCAAAGAGAGTAGATCTTAAATGTTCTCATCACAAAAAAGAAATGGTAATTATGCGTTGTGATGGAGGTGTTAGCTAATAATATGGTGGTAATCATTTTGCAATGTATAAACGTATCAAATCAACACACTGTACACCTTAAAATTACACAATGTTATGTCAATTAAATCTCAATAAAGCTAGAAAAAAAAAGAAGCATTTAAATGACTACATACCCAACTTACATAATTTACAGAGCTATAGACAGAGTTCCATTAAAAAGGAAAAAAAAAAGTCAGTTTTCAAAAGAAAAGAAAAGAACAGAAACGTTGCCCCTAAAATTCTTAAAAAAACAAACAAAAAGCCATACTATAAAGTTAGAAATGTTAACACTGTTCTAAATAGCCAAATAGGTTAAATAACCTTTAAGGGAAGTGAATTAGATTTAAAAAAATATCAAATTAATAAGCCTCTTTAGAAGAAATTGTTACATAAACAAAACAGAGGAAAACTTACACTCTGTGTACAATCATCTTTCTTACCACAATAATGCCAGGGATCTCTCTAATTGCTGTTGAAACAAAAGTGTCACTTTTGGAACTATTTACTGAAAAACTGAACTATAATTACTATTGAGTGACAACAAATTCAAACTTCTCTTCTTTAAAACTAGGGTTATATTAGAGCCTGCTTTCAGTTAATAGTCTTACAAATGGAGATTATACATTTTTTCCCTATAATTTGGGTTATTAAATTCTACTTTCATTTGAATTCTCATTATCATCACCATGGTGCCTGTCACAAAATCTTTATTTTTCATGTTTCTCACACAGTGTAGAGATTTAGATGTTTTAAAAGGCAATTTTGCTGAGGAACACCCAGAAAAATCATATGATTCTTGATCTTATGATCCTGACATATAATTCAGATTGCAATAAAATTTTTTTACCATAAAATGTAATTGTGCTTATCAATTTCAGGAACCTGCTAGATAGAATATATTTGAAAACATTCAGGTATGTGTAAGAATAATGTTTAGTGAACAGAGGGTCTATGATTTGAATAATCAAGTTTAGGATGTGAATTTTGTCTAATGCATTTATTATTTAAGTGCTAATTAAATAAAATACAATTAGTCTTAAAATCCAATCAAAACAGGAATCCCATGTACCTTTTCACAAATCATCAGGCTAGATATATATAAAACTGACTACATAAAGGAAAGGAATATTCTAAGTAGTATTCTAAATAGATTTTGCCTCATGACTAAAAGAAAGAATATGACCTTAAATGTAAATCTTGAGAAGAGTGATTAAATGTTAACAGTAAGATTTTTTAAAAATAGTGATAATAAAGATCCTAAGTAAACCTCTAATTAAACTCTAGAAATCACATACAAATTATGTATACACCCATGATGAAAGATAAGAAAGTTCTGCAGAAAAAGAAGAAAAAAAAGAGATACAAAGAGAGAAGCAAGAATAAGATTCCATGCAGCCCGAGAGAGATTTGATATCCTGGTGGTTTTCCAGCACTCCTTTCTAGAACATTAGGACACTGATTGCCTGGGTTCTAGGTGTAACAAGCATTGTGGTTGTGTCTCCAACATGTATTCAACTCCTCTCAGTTGTCTGGTGCTTCACCACTGGAAGCTTCTGAGGTGGGTACTCTCCTTCACATTGGGCACAAGCCATTCTGCACAGGTCATTCCACTGTCCACAATGGCTGGTGGGTATCAAGAGCATATAACCTAAGAAAGACCAGTGAGACATCTAGAAGTTTAGGTAGGGAGAAGATAATTTCCCTTATTCTGACTGCTGAGATGTGTAGGTGTGAGACTTGAAACTACTGCCACCATCTTGCTACCATGAGGAAACCCTGCATGAGCATAAAGTAAACATAGATAAGGATAGAACCATGGTCACTGCAAAGAAAAAGCCAGATCCCTGATCAAATACATCTAAGTGTGACCTACTCCTGGGCTTGCTGACTTAGATGAACCATTAAATCTCTTTTATTGCTAAAACACCTTGAGTTGGGTTAATGTCAACCAAAAGAATTCTAGCTGACAAACAAATTTCCCTAACTTGCGACCAAAGGAGACTTAAGCAACATTGAATAGGGCAACCTTGTCTACAGATTTATAGATCTGGATAAAAAACATCTCCCAGTCAGTTCGGTTATTCTAGCTAATCACACAGCAGAAATGGAAACTTGTAGCTAACCTGTCAGAAATCGTCAAGTCTGAATAACGAATGATAATGGTTCATTTAATTTTTCAATGAATGGGGTATAAAAGGGTGGTTTTGAAGGAAATACTCAATGAGTTTACATAAAAAATTTAATTTTTTCTCCCTCTTGCTAGTATTATCATAAAGAGTTCAGCAATAGTAAGGTCAGAGATGTAATCTTTAGTTGAATTATGTAACAGATTCTAGGATGCTGCCAAAGTCCCACACAATTACCAAATAGATATTTTCTTTAAAATTAGACTTATAGAGTTCAGTATAATTGTTGCAATCAACATATCTAACATGACTTAGTATTTCCCTTAACCTCTAAATCTCTGTAATTAATAAAAAAAATAGCTTTAAAGTTAACATAAAGAATAAGAATATCATTGTGCTTAAATAACAGATTATCTGTAAAAATATATGATTTTGTCTGATTACAATCGCTTATCTGGCTTTGTGAAAATACACCTTCAATTTTACTTAAAACAGAGCTGCTCAAAACAATATCATATCTTTGAAAATATTGAAAAGCCAAAGACTTGGGCTTGGTGTTTGACTTCCTTAGCTCAAGTTTTCCAAGTTGTCACGGCAACTTTTAATCAAAGAGGAAGTCGATTTATTGTTTACCTTGGAATTTAGAGACACAATTTGTTAAACTCCAGGGAGAGGTGTTTGGCTCAGTTATTTAGGAAAGTCATAAAATAGATGTCTTAAAAATGTGACATTTTAGCACTACTAAATTATTCAAATCACATCTTGTCCTTTATAGAAGTAATGGTACTTAAAGAATTGTTAAAAGACACTTCAAGCACAAAGATTTTCCTTTTCTGCTTGAAAGCAAACTATTTCTGACACCATAGAAAATAAAACAAAACACTGCTGTGATACACCTAGTCGCCAATTCATTTAGGAAACCAACTGTTACTGAAAGTGGATGACACAGTAGGTAACTATAAATCCTATAAATCCATGCTTCTCAAACATGCCTAGAAATGTGCAGCTGTAAACAAACAGAGGACAGACAACAAAAATACAGAGAAAGTCATCATAACTGTAGCCTAACCATTCTGCAACAATCAATTTACACAATTCCTAACCCAAATGTTGTCTTCTCTTCTATCATGGCTGTTAAGTTGATTTTATGATGGATAATTTTTATGGGTGCCTCACATTGCCTTACGAAGTAATAGCATTTGAACTCTAAATTCATTTCATTGAGAACTAAAAAAAAAAAAAAATCAAGAATATATTGTGTGAACATCACTGTGCTATTCATTTGAATTATATGGACACATAAACATAATCAAAGTTCTTAGGTAAAGTTATTTAACACTGAACCAATTGGTTACCTCTCAAAGACAGTTCATAATAAATAAAAGAATATTATAATTTGAATCGTTCAAATTACTATAATTGGTTCAAATATATACAAATGGTTCAAATATTATAACTGAAGGGTTCTTTCCAGGTGTTAATATATAAATATATTTCATTCTTATATAAATGATTTCACAAGGACTACATAGTACATTTAAAGGTAAAGTTATTTTAAAATATTACTTGTGTATATTAAACTCCTCAAAAACAAAGAGTTAAAAAGTAGTTCTCATGATATAAAAAAATCATGTTGATAGAAGAAACCAAAGGATATGGTAAAATAACAGTAGGAGAAAAGGAGTGAGCTGGTAGCACTCAGAAAAATATTACAGAAATGAACTCATTAGTAGTAACAATAGCAGAATAAATATGACTAAATTACTAGTCAGGACACAGAAACGTACATAAGATGAAATGGAAAAGAAGAATGAAATAAATATCTAAGATAGATAATCATATAAATTATATAAAAAAGGAGATCATACATCTATGTGGTTGGCATAGAAAAGTTTTCTAAAAATATATTAGAAGAACAATTTTTCTGAGATGAAGAAAGACTTGACTCTATATACCATGTCCCAAGAAAATTTGCAATAGAATTTTGAATGCTAAGAAATTTCTGGTGATATTTCTCATAGATTAAAAAAAAAGAAGCAGAAGTCTTATACGTATCTAGAAAGACAAATCAAGTTATTTATAAGGAGGGAAAAAACCTTACTTAGTCTGATACTTCTCCACAATATCCAGTGGAAACAATGTCTACACAATCTGAGAGAAGGAAATTGTGATTCAAGTAATTTTTGCCCAACCAAGTTGTAATTTAAGTATAAAGGCAACAAACATATTTCTAATATATACAAATACAGAGGAAATATACCATAAATGAGACTTTCTTAGAAATGTAATACTGGGGCCGGCCCGTGGCTTAGCAGTTAAGTGTGCGTGCTCCGCTACTGGCGGCCCAGGTTCGGATCCCGGATCCCAGGCGTGCACCGACGCACCACTTCTCCAGCCATGCTGAGGCCACATCCCACATACAGCAACTAGAAGGATGTGCAACTATGACATACAACTATCTACTGGGGCTTTGGGGGAAAAA